GAGTTGGATTGATTTTTCTTTCTGAATTTAAATATGGACATTAGCTTTTGAACCTGCACTCATCAAAGATGCCTGATAAATCTGACTCGCAATCTCATTTTTAAGTGGAATCCAATGCAGGTCAATTCATTCTAAATTTAAAATGTTCTATGACGATTCATCTAATGTTCATGTATTATGGACAAGATGAGCTATATTATTGGCCTTAAAACCTCACCCTGCAAGAAAATCAAATTGATCGTGGACCTTACAACCTCTCCACAGGTGTGAAGCAACCTGATCGGTGAGTTTTATAGCCTGGCCTATAAGGGAATAAGACTCAAATAGGGGGTATTATAATCTCTCATTTTAGGCAAAATAACCTTATTGATGGTTCTTATGTTATCTCTCATTATGCAAGGTTGCTCGATTGGTTAAGTTGTTTAGATGCTGACTTTTAAATTAACATTTGTTTTAGCATGTATACTGAGGCGTTGATTAATTAAGAGCTGAGGTTTTGGCCTATTTGCAACCATGTTATAGTTGTGTATCGGTGACCCTCAAATGGGCACTTTAATGATTTGTTATCCTCAGGAATACTTTTGTCTACTTGTGATCCCTTAAGATTTGTTGGAACTCGTGGGTTGAATTTGGGGTTTTTTGGAGATTGGTGCTTTAGTGCCTCAACACAGTTTTTGATGCTTCAATATATTTATTGATGCACCTGCATGAACATTGGTGCTCCAGTTTATCAATTATCACCATAAAGATAATTTGTCTTTTTCATATTATTTAAATACATTTCATATGATTATTGGTTCTTTAAGAAGCAATTGTCTTATGTATTATTTATGAGCATTTGGGGTATTTAGGAATGCTTTTTGTTTTTGTAATTACAGAGGACTGCTTTACCTTTTTTTGGTAGATGGTATTAGTTTGTGCATATGATTTATAGTGACAAGGAATTGTTTTATGTATTATTTATGAACATTTGAGCTTTACGAAGAAGCACCCAAGTTGATTTTATATTGATTTGAATCACTCAACCGTGTATTAAAATCCTTTGTTAATTTAGAAGACTTGAGTCTCTATCGCTGGCTTATCTTTGTATGATAATGTAGGTATTTAAGATGAAGGTAATTCGTTAGCCTATCTAACATTGTTTTAAGACATGTTTTAAGGGCGGGTTAATACAAGGTTGGTTGTTGCAAATGACTAAAAGCTTTATGTATGCATAAGTTGGAAACTCATTTACTAGGAATTTAATGTTTACGGGTGCCAATGCATTATGCTCATTGCATATATCTTAATAAAAAGAAAATTATTTTCGAGCATGTATTTTAATGAATTTGCTTTATAATTGCGAATCACGGCAAACAAACATCTCCTCATGTACAAGAAGACTCAATTTTGTGAATCATCACAAATCCAAACAATTAGATTTTTCATGTCAAGAAAGCTACAAGGAGTGCTTTGAGAGATTTCATAGTTAAGCTCAACAAAACTATGCCGTAGGAAGGACTATGAAGAGGTGGTGGTTTGTAAAGATGTATTTGTTATTGTTGATCTTGACAGGCAAATGCTTGTGCTAGGGTTATATTAACCGTAAGAGAAGTTTTTTAGGAGCATTGCCTGCACGGTATCCAAAATGGAAAGGCTGCATCAAGCTAGTGTTGTTAGGGGTAAAGCTAATGAGCTGTTGAAGGGTCAGTTAGCATGAGAGAAATCAAGAGGAAGACTCGGTTTTTAGAAGATGGAAGGGAATACTTAGGTTTCAGTGGAGTTGGTGTTGGAGAAGACTCAACATAGGGGACTTTCCTAGTTGAAGCATGCATAGGACAAAGAAGCCATCATGCCATGGATTTGAAGCGCACATTGAGATAGCGAGTTGGAGAGAGAAAAGATAACATTGAGATAACAAGTGTCTGAGGTTTACAATACACGACATGGGTTTTTTTTGTGAGACATAGGTATCACACAAGAATAACCCGTTTTCATGCGCAGGATTGAGGGAAATGCTGTCACACCCTAATTGATCTTACTTTCATACATAATCAGAACCTATTAGGTAGTGAACTAGTATGACTAGATACTTGATACATTCAATGTCATACTTCATTATATACACCCGGAAATGTGGAAAATCATAACCTCAAAACATGAAAACTATACATAACTACTAAATCTAACATAAATAAAATACTTACCTAAAATATCTGTTCAAACTCCCAAAATTACACAGTGCAAAAGCTGCACAAATCACACCTAGCTGTAGGCTGATTTAAAACTTGGAGAATTACCAAAATTTAATGTAAAGTATATGTAAGATCAATTGCTTGATCTAGATCAGGCATCTAGTGAAATTAATTTGTCTTAATTTCAACAAGTATGGCTTTATTAACTTAAATAGGTCCTTAATCTGTTTAGCCAAATTAATTTTATTTACCTTTGACAGCTATTGTATCAGCTAACCCATTTAGCTAACTCTGGGAAGTTTGATGAACCCAACTTTAAGGAAATCAGGTGGTTAGGCTGATTTAAAACTTGGAGAATTACCAAAATTTAATGTAAAGTATATGTAAGATCAATTGCTTGATCTAGATCAGGCATCTAGTGAAATTAATTTGTCTTAATTTCAACAAGTATGGCTTTATTAACTTAAATAGGTCCTTAATCTGTTTAGCCAAATTAATTTTATTTACCTTTGACAGCTATTGTATCAGCTAACCCATTTAGCTAACTCTGGGAAGTTTGATGAACCCAACTTTAAGGAAATCAGGTGGTTTTATTTATTTTTTTACTAATCCATAAATATGTGCTTACACGTTTGTGCCATTAGAAAAATTTGACAAATATTTTCGTGATAATTACATTTTTCTTAGAATAATGATAATATAAAATTTAGGTTCCTATCGATAGAAACATAACTAATAAAATAATTAGAATTCATAGTGTCTAGAAATTAAGTGACGAATATTTATGTTGTTTTTGCATTATGCTACTCAATAGGGGATCTGGTGCTCTTTTAAAGCAACAAGAAAATTTAATCTCCATACATGTAGAGCATCATGCAGGTAGTATTATAGGTTCCCAAATTTCTTGGGCCGACTCGATGATCTTTTTATTTATAAACTCATATTCGCGCTTGGCAGCATTACTTTTTCTTGAACCTTAAAAACATAGCTGAAAACTTGTACTTCTTTATGGTAATTTTATGCAAGGTATGTGTATAAACGAAATCTGTGTTCTTTATAGTAATACTAGATTCTAATTCTATGTTTTCTTTGAAGTTCCATGGTTTTAACATCTTTCTTCTGGATTTTTATGTATTTGATTTTATAACAATTAAATCTTACCAAAAGACTCAATTTCATAGTCTGCACCTATGCAACCACTTCTGAAATTTATTTCAATAATATGAAGGGGCATTTCATACATACCGCACAATTTTCATGCGTTTACTATCTAATACCTAAACTTTCATATTCACTTGCATATCACTCAAACCTTTAATGTCACATGAAAATAACCACTATTATTAGCTCTTTAAAAGTGAAATACACATTTCACACCTAAGTGTTTTAAATGTCAATATCAAAATTTAGTTGTTTGACATGTAAATACATAAGAATTGTATGTAAATTTCGCTAATATTAAACATTTAGATTTCCTTCGGACAATACAAAAGAAAATCCTGTAGTTTCTTAAAAGGAATGTATAGAAATGTGCCAGAGTATTGAATGTTGCTCTCTTCAACTTTACTAGTCCATCTTCTTTGCTTTGTGACCGTTTGATATTGTTATTTTTTTGACTGTTTGAACCTCAAATGGCTCTTTTTGAAATAAAAAATAATACCGTTTAACCAAGTAATTTATGTTTTTATTGTCTGTTTAACCTTTCTCTTACATCACCTAAAAATATAATGATAATATTAAGTTAATTAAATGCACTTTATACATTCATTTGTGTGCCGCGAAATAATTGGGTACCACTTCTGGCATTTATTTCAATAATTTTAAGGGGCTTTTACATACATACCACACAATTTTCATGCGTTTACATATCTAATACCTAAACTTTCATATTCACTTGCATATCACTTAAACCTTTAATGTTACATGAAAATAACCACTATTTTAAGCTCTTTAAAAGTGAAATACACATTTTCATATATTGGTTTATGACACTAAAGTGTTTTAAATGTCAATATCGAAATTTAGTTGTTTGACTTGTAAATACATAACAATTGTATGGAAATTTCGCTAAAATTAAACATTTTGATTTCCTTCGGACAACACTCAAGAAAATCCAGTAGTTTTTTAAAAGAAATGTATAGAAATGTGCCAGAGGATTGAATTTTGCTCTCTTCAACTTTACTAGTCCATCTTCTTTGCTTTGTTACTGTTTGATATTGCTATTTTTTTAACTGTTTGAACCTCAAATGGCTCTTTTTGAAATCAAAGATAATACGGTTTAACCAAATAATTATGTTATTATTGTCTGTTTAACCTTTCTCCTACATCACCTAAAAATATAGTGAGAATATTAAGTTAAGGAAATGCACTTTATACATTAATTTGGGTACCGAGAACAAATATCCTTTGCATGTTTAGTTTGGGAATCTTTTCAAATTGCTCTTCCTGGCATTGCACAAATGAGGTTTATTTTTCAGAATATTGGAAAATTCATTGATGTAGCAGCATTAGCAAAAAGTTTCATTGGTAGGCATTGGCCGAAGTCTGATAATTTTGTTGTTTTTTTTGCGAATAAAGCATGTATCTTAACAGTTGGGCTATGATTGTTCTATTTATTTTGTGATAAGAATCATAATAAACAGTCTTGATTTGTTTTTTCTGGTGATGTTAGAGAGTTGCACCATATTTTAGTAATGCTGTAAAACATGATTTTTATCGTTATCACCTTTATTTGTTGTTGTTGTTTCTCTCTAATCTAAATTGCTGGGGGTTTGTTCTATCAGTGTTACATATTCTTTAGTATTTACAATTGAACTTTTTGTGCAGATTGAAGCAACAGTGATGCCATCAGATTATCGGTACAAGGTTTGTTTTCTTCCTTTTGTCGTTTGAGTGTCACCTTATAAATTCCCTCCAATATTGAAAATACAAGGGAAAAAAAACTATTGATTGGATGCTTGAAGAGCAGAAAGCTCCGAGGCAGTGTTTCTGCTCTGATGTTTTTGAAATTAATAATAGGCAGTCATTCTTATTTTGCCTGGCAAATAAAGGATTCATCGCCTTGTACTTCAGGCATATCTCATTATTAAGTAAACGAAATGTTGTTGACGTGGGTGTGGGTCTTGTGATCTCTTGCATCATGGGATTGGATGCGGGAGACGAAAATCCCGTCTTGAGAGTCCTATGGTGGGAATTTTCGCACCTGCCTGTTATTGCCGGGTCTTGTGGGGCCTCTATTTATTATATTTTGATATCTAACTACGTTTAAATTTATGTTTTAGTATAAGTTTATTGCTTTAAAGTCTGATGGGGACTTTATCTGTTGGTTTATGCTATTTGGAAATTTTTGTCTTTTTCTCCGATTTAGAGAGTTGCACCATATTTTTCTTGAAGTGGTAAATATGTATTTTGAAGAGAACAGGTGGTGGAAATTTTTTGTTGTCCGCACACCGTCATTTAAGCCGCCGATCATCCACTCTTTTGTTGTCCTTTCTCCTAGATAATAGCTGACCTATCATTTTGCCCTTTCAACCTCCATAAATTTCATTTATTCTCCGATATTTCCCCTTCTCTAACATATTCACGCTGGACCAAATTAAACACGTTCTAGGAATCCTAGGATAATGTCAAATCTTAATTTCAAGTTCTAACTCTAGCCATAAACCTTCAAACTCTTACATTCTTACCTCCACCAAAAATCTCTCTCTACAGCTACCACCTAATTCTAAACCCTCGACCAATCTTAGATCGACTATCTTTATCCTAGTCGAAACCCTAAAGTAAGGAGCAAGTCACTATGTCGCCAAGAAGAAAATCTAAACGATGCATTCATGAACTTACCATGGAGGATATGCAACAAAAATCAATTAATTGCAATGGAGACTCACTGATTTTAACAGGAGGTAAGGTGAGGAAGTCACCTATTGCAATAACGGTGACCACTCTAGTAGAGTTATAGAGAAGATGATGAAAATCACGTTCTCCAAGAAACCTCATGCATCAATAAGACGATGTGGCGTTAGTTAAACATTGAGTATAGGAGAAAAGAGTGATTTTGAAGTGAAGCTTAATTTGTTGGATTTCGACAGTTCTATGGATCGAGATAAATTTATTGAGTGGCTCTAGATAGTGAAATGAGTTTTTGAGTATAGAGATATTCCACTTGATGGAAAAGTAAAGCTACTTGTCATTAAGTTAAAGAGGTGTGCTTCCTTGTTCCATACCCAAATACAAGCATGTACTCTAATAAGACTTTTTAAGGAACACATCATAAAGATCAATAGATCTTCTAAGCTTTGGAGGCCTGTATCCAAAGATCAAGTTATTTTGAGTTGAGCCATCTGCCAAAATGATCGAGCTATGCCTACCTGTCGAAGTGGTCGAACTAAGCCTACCTATCGAAGTGATCGACTTACGCGAGATACACCACCGGGAAAAATCTTAAAGTTATTTTGATCTAAGCCCCTTTCTTTGTGGTAATTTTTGGCCGCCCAGGAATCTTGAGAAAATATAGAGTGAGAAACATGAGCTCTAGCAATGCATCTATCATCTTCTCCCATATATTTTTCATAAAAACGGGGTCTATACCGGCTTTTTTGAACAACACGGAACCATAAGTCCTTGAAGGATTCAACATTTGTGGGGGGAGATTCTGAAGTGCTTGTGCCAATATGAAGGAAAAAATAAAATCACAATTTGATACAAAATGAAGAAGGATATGCAGTGCAAGTATCTACCAAAATACTACTGTCGGTCAACTTTTTATTTATTTTTGAAAATATGAATATGAAAATAATTTTAAATTTTAATTTAATATAAGAGATATATAGTTTGAGTTTTGAAAGTCAATATGTTTTAATTTTCGAAAAAGAAAAAATTAGACCAAATGGATCTCATTTGTCCAATAGTTTGCATAATCGTGTCTGATACCGCGAATACTACACTTTCCCGAAAGATAAGTGTAGACCTCGGCGAGACCTCGGCGATAGACCGACGATAGAATCAATCATGCAAAGTAAAAGATTTGTGACATCTATTTGGTTTGCGAACCTTTTATGTGTGACCGACAAGTTCTCCTATCTAATATAAAGATTAAACAAAGTTTATTTTGCCTGGGTTCCAAGTTCCCTATAGAGGCAAACCCCTATAGTTAATTAATTCTCAAATGACTGGGGTCACTTGAGAAACTCTCAATAATGATAAGTGGTTTTATTCTTCAAGATTTCAAGGTTTAGGTTTTCACGGTAGGACGTGAAAAGACAAGTGGAGTGACTCAAATAGGAACAATTATTTTCGAGAGTCCAAAGAAGGGAAAATGTAGGGGATATCACAGATTCTAAGGACAAAACCTTAGTAACTTCCCAAACTATCCTGCTGTGCGGCTATGTTTTAGAGAAGATGTTATTTAAGTTTTCAATCCTGCCAATTTTATTATTTGGGGCTTACACTTCCATAATAAGTGATTATGCAAATAACTCACAGAGAAATGAGAGTTTACGTCATATCACAAAACAACCTCGGAGCTTAAGGCGAGTTAGGACTTACGCTGCACAACGTGGTTGTGTAGGGGCCTAAAAGATGATGAAGAATTACGTCGCGCTAGACGAGCTACCTCAAAGTCTTAATGGGTTGTTTAAATTAGGGAAGTTTAGTTGGTGAATACTTGTTTTGCTGTTGTTGAATGACGACCCCCTCTACTTGTAGTCTGCTCCAAACTTCTTGTCGTGCTGCCCACGAAGTTGCTCCGGGCTCCTCGTCGAAGTAGCAATCTTAAAGTTTAAGGTTCAAACAGTTTTACCAGGTGTGTTTCAATGTCTCAGTTTTGTTGTTATTGGGGGGGTTAAAGTTGATTAGAGCGACACCGGTTATGATCCCACGGTTCCCTTGTTCCGGTATCACTATTTTCTTTTGAATTCACTTATCTTAAACGAATTGTGAAATCCATTTAAACCGGGGAGATCTCGTTAGCAACCGTGGGTTACCTCCTTCGAAGGACTCCCGTAAATTCGAAAGAGCATGTTATGTTTTGTTTTGTTTTGATTTGCTTTGAAAATGTTGTTTAATTTTGAAAAATCATTTTATTTCGAAAGTGAAATTGTATTCAGTACCTGCATAATGTGTTAAAGCAAGAGCAAATTGCAATGATAAAACAACAATAAATAAAATGTACATGTCTACGTGGCAGATCTGTTGTTGTTATCCCTGTTGCGTGTTTAATTCACAAAACATAATATAATTTGTAGTGAATTTAAATAAATTGCAGAGAAAGAAATAAAACAGTAAGCAGTAGAACAAGTTGTATCAACAACAAGGAACTCAAAAGAGGTGATCCTAAGGCTTCCTACAACTCCTAACTGCCATTGGAGAGCTAATATTGTGATCGTACGACCTCCTACGGCTGCGGAAAGCTAATAACAAGTGTGTACGGTGATTCTACGACTTCGGACAACAGCTAGGAATTTTGAATAGCGTCTGTATGAGTTCTTATGAACCCAAACAACAATTAGAAAGCCTAAACAACGATCATAAGGCCTCCTACAGCTCGGGACAACAGCTAGGGAATCTCAACAACAACTATTAATCACCAAACAACAATTCTAAACTTCCGAACAACAGTCCCTAGCACCAAACATCAGTTTTAAGCTTCTAAACAACAATTCCTAGCACCAAACAACAGTTTTAATCAACAAACAACAACTCTAAGCTTCCAAACATCACTTCTTAGCACCAGACAACAGTTCTACGACACCGGGCGGCAACTTGGAGCTTTAGGTAGTGGTCCTACAACTTCCTACAACATCGGGCAGTGACTAGGAGCATTGGACAACACCCTACAACTCTTCCTACATTCCAAAATGTGGCTTTGAAATGCGAACAATGCTTACGACGCCTCCTATTATTCCAAACAACAACTATTAAACACCAAACAACACTTTACAGTGATTGACAACCTTAAACAACATATAAATGGGGCGCAAAACCCTCCAAAACAATGACTAAGATGTTCAAGGTTGACCAACAAAAGCACCTTGAAGCAGGGATCAGGCTGCCCAATGAATAAAATTGTGCATCCGACCACTGCTTGCGTCTTTCTAACTAAGGCATAAATTCGGTAATACGGTTCAATGCAAAAGACTATTTGGAAATCTCCAAAAATCAGTCCCTATGATTTAGAGAGCTACTATCATAACAAATCATAACAAATGTAAGCAGATAAATAAATTATGAAGTGCTACAACATATGTTAAGCTCAACCATCATGGGATCAAGTCTTATGGATGAAAGAATGCATGAAAAAGCTTTAAAACGAATGATATAAACAAGACTAGTTCAATTCCTCTGACAGTTTCCTTTCAGCTTTCAACAGATTCAGCACTTTCGATTAAAGATCTTAAAAAAAAAAGAAGGTTTAAGCGAGGAGATCGAACCTGTACCTACCAATCTCACAAATTTCGGGTAAGAAGAAACCAAAGGGGAGGAATCCTGTCGAGCGAGGAGAACCAAATCGAGCAGACCGAGCGAGGAAGAAGGCGAGCGTCTTGTCTAGCTTTTAGATTAGAAGCGGATGCCAAATTAATCCAAAGTTGGATCGGGCCGAATCGAGCGGAGTTTTGTTCCAAGAGACGACTCCTGAGAGAGGTTGAGCGGAGAAAAAAAAAATGTCGCAGGCTTCGGTTGAGCAGGTGTGCGGGAGTAAGCGTCTTGAGGACGGGACTGTAGCAAAGAAGCAGGCGCGAGAGAAGGGAGCCGAATCGAGTAGGCGTCGATCTCTGTTCGCAGAGGAGGTGCGGGTGAGGCGCAGGAGGAGCGAACGCTTCGTCTTTCCCTGTCGAGCGGGCTCGAGCAGAGAAGCCTCGGGAGAAGGAGAAGGCGAGCGGGGGAAGGTTGGCAAGTGAAGGAAGATGAGCAGGAGCTCGGGAGAGGCAAAGGAGGAAGACCGCGAAGGAAGAAGCGATCCCTTCCTTTTAGAATTGGAGTGGGGTCAATAGACGTTATACGAAGAAATTGGCAGGAGATTGAATGATTTTCTTTCAGGTAGCCAGCTTAATTGGAAAAGTTTAATGGGGGGATTAAATGATAAATTTGAAATTTAAATTTTGAAATTCAAAATCATATAAGCTGAGTCAATTAGCCCGTGTTCAGCCCATATCCAACCCAAATTGAACCTGGGTTGTGTTCGGGCCCGCGGCTCGCTAATTAAAAAAACATGCATTGATATTTGTGTAATTTGTGCGCTCATGTAACCCTAGAAATACGAGTGTCCTTCCTAGCTACAGTTGACGTTCCGAATGCGTCGGTGCGGTCCGTTTTGTCATCCAGGGTCGTTCGAACAAATTCGCCGGCGGTCGAGCTAAAAATTTATCAACCTCGTGCGTGGTGTGGCGAGTGCGTTGCTGGGTCGCGGAGGGTTCACCTAAGGACGTCTGATCTTGTAAGAACTCATTTTTGGGCCCTCTACATGCTAGTCCTTAACCCTCACAACTAGAAGTTTAGTGCTTGGAACCACTCTTGCGAGTTCTTCACAAAAATGAGTCAAGAAGTGGTTTGAAGTTCTACGGGAGGTGAGCTCCATTACTAGTCCTTTAAGATGGTAAAAAAGAAACTCCTATGGCTAGATTTTGGGTTTTGGGAGTAGGAAACTAAGACCTCACTAAAATGAGGTCAACAACTACATATAATTTGTTTTTTTGAGACTTGATCATTTGCAGTAGAAGCATGTCAATGGAGGAGTACATCGTTGAATTTGAGCAGCTAATGCTGAAGTGTGAGTTGGTGGAGCCTGAGGTGAATACCATAGCTTGGTATCATGGAGGATTGAGATTGTCTGTTGGTAACTTGGTGCTACAACAATTTTATTGGATGTTATGGGATGTTCAAACTTTAGCCTTGAAAGTAGAGAGACAACTCAGTAATATCATGTCTACACCATCCTTCAAATAGGCTTCAAAAAATAAAATTGTGTAACAAGAGCACATCTACCAAATGGCTAATAATTGTCCCTTGTGTGAAGTCAACATAGTAGGAAAATATGATTCATTGGGCCAACACTTCCAAGATATTTCAAGTTTAATGGATATGGGTACATTGCATTATTTGCTCAAATAAAAGAGTGATTTATTTACTGAGTAGGGTGCAATGGGAGAGAGAGAGTGAAGACTTTTGAGAGGAGGTTGGAGAGGAGTATTAGTTAACCACAAATGATGGTGAGATGCTTGTGGTTTGATGATTTCTTCAGACCGAGCCCAAGAGAGATCAGTAGTGACTTAGGCTCCGTTTGGGAGCTCGCCGGCACCTCGTCGGAAGAATATCTCGAGGAGCGGTCGCTAACTGTGGCTTTTTGGGAGCGCGTCGGGAGAGTGTCACGAGGCGTTTTTGGTTAGACGCTACCTCCCCATCTCTAGCCGAAGTTCAATCTTCTCTCCCCTTTCACAATCTCAGTTTTCCCATCTTCCTCTGGTAACCCTACCAACCTAAATAATGCTCAAATTTCTCAAGGGAGTGGTTGCTGGATCTGGGGCGGGGCTCAAGGATTTTGCATACAATATCGGCGAACGTAATTCCTCGTCCTGGGGCTCGTGGACTAAATTCCGCATAACTTCTAAGGTTCTGATCATTTGAGTCCCAAATTTGTAATTCGTTCATGAAAGTTCCAATATTTTAGATGCTTTCTTATGAGTTTTTTCGTGCTACGCTTCTTGCAAGTAATCTGATATCAAAATTTGACTTCCATTCAGTAGAGCTTTGCCCTTTGATTACGACAGTGTACTTTTAGGATTTCTGAGGGTGTGTAGTGAACCGGATGGACGAGAGAGGTATTTTTGGCTGCTTGAATGAATAAGCTGATAGAATTTGTAGGAGGGCTATCTTACTGGAAATCATTCCTTGAGAATTATGTAGGTATTGAAGCAAATTTGGAATAGGTTTAAGATTAACAGATTCGTATTTTTCAGAAATTTGATCATTTTTTTGAAGAAGGCAAGTAGAAGAAGTTTAATAGTGCTGAATCAACTCTGTGGTGCTGCTGGAGGCTTACCGTCTTTTTTGTTACTTAGTTGTTTATGAATAAGTATTGCAAATTTAGTTAGTGTATTTTGGTGCATGAAGGAAGAATTAAATCATGCAAAATATTGCGATAGAATTTACCGTCATCAACTTTTTATGCTTTTTATTTGTTTATTTTGCTTCCTGTTTATATTGTTTTTGCTATGTATTCCTTGGACATCACAGGCAAGTCAGTCAAGCATTTTGATTAGCCTGTATGAGATGGAACTGAGTGGTTTTTATTATGAACAAGGTAAAGTTGGTGCCCAAGTAGAACTTTCTATGTATATAAGGTCATCAATGATATATTGTTTTGAGAGTGGGCTAACAAGGGATGGACAAACTTATTGAATTTGTACTGATGGTTTCTCTTGAACATCTAAAGTCATTTGAAAATTTGATTGATTTTTTTAGAATTCATGATAGTATTTAACATCTACTTTGTTATGGCGGTATATGCAGTTATTAAACGCTTCCTTCTTTTCAATGATGCTTCAGTAGTTCTTTAGGCTGCTCCTTGAAGTCTAGGATCACCTTTGGATGTTGTACTGGGCTAATATGAATATTCTTATAGAATTGGGGTTCTCTGAATCCTGCATGGTATGGCATAGTTGGCAGAGTGCTAAGCAATATGATAGATGAGCTGTATATTTTTCTTAGTTGTGAATTATAACATTTAAAACTTGCAACAGGTTTCAACTTTGCCCACCACGTTTTATTTTCCCGATGTTTTGTGCATTTTTCTGAGAGCATGTTAGTCTCTTCCGAATTTTTGCTTATGAAATATTAAATATATGACTATCACAATTCTGTTACAAACAACGTTACTAAACAGGGGCAGAACGATCATTTGTCCAGAAACAGCTGCCACACAGCTGTTTCCACATAACTGCAACAAGTTTCCCCACAACAACTTTCTGGGGTAGCTAAGCTGCAGCAGAAAAGCTGAGAAGCTGCAGCTGCCCTAAACAGCCTCTTAAACATAACATCTTTCATACATGATACACTGTGAAAGGGATTGATTGTGGCTTCATTATAGACGTTGGCAACTGTGAGAATGTAATTTTTGCACAGATGGTGGACAAATTGAGCCTAATTACTCAGAAATATTTCCAATCATACCAACATATTCCTTAACTTGGTTGAAGAAGGGAAATGAGATTAGTATCGACAAGTGGTGTTTGGTAAAATTTTAAATTAGAGATAAGTTATAGGATTTGGTGTGATGTGCTGTCGTGCTTAAAGATGTATCATATATTTTTGAGTCGATTGTGATAATATAACAAGGGTGCACTTCATGATGGCCATAAAAGAATATACTCGTTTATCAATGATGGGAAGCGTATTTTACTTATGCCATTGAAAGAGTCAATATTGATGAGTACTCAAGCAAAGACAGGAGCTATATGCTACATTTCTACAGGCCATGAGACAGACATTGATGGTACTAGCTGAATAATGTTTGAGGACAGTGAGACGAAAGAGCCGATACCTCAGTCAGTGCCACCTCTATCGGACGTGTTTCGGGTTGTTCTGACTGACAACCTGCCGTGTGGATTGTCAACCCTACAAGAAATTCAACATGTTATAGATGTCATCCTAGGCACAATGCTCTATACCCGACCATCCTATTGGATGAGGCCAATATTGTGTGATGAACTGTAGAAGAAGTAGATCGGTAATCTAATGGCCTGGGCACTAGTTCATGAAAGCATCAGTCCATGTCTCATATCAGTTTTGATTGTGCCAAAAAATGATTGGTCGTGGTGCATGCTTATTGGTAGCAGTGTCACAAATGAAATCACAGTCAAATATCGGTTTTTCATAATGAGATTGGATGATTTACTTGAATAGCTACATTCAGTCAATGGCTTCCTCATTATTGACTTGCACGGTGGTTATCATTTGATTGAGATTCAGAGGTACATGTTGAACTTGTTATCATACTTTGGATTTAGTAATACAGAGAATTTTTATTTCTGAAAATAAATTTTTCCTGTAAAAGGCCTCAAAGGTCATATATAAATGAACAACAATATCACTTTTGTGAAATTCGTTAGATCATGTTTATCTCTCAACTATTGGGGGCAAACTGGTTGTTTACTAGACCGAGTATTTGTGTTTTTTTTTATCATTCTCCATTTATAATGTTGTTTAACATCACCACTTTCCGAAAGTATTATACATATTAACTATAAGCCTTATGATTGCAAAAATCAAACTTCATTAGGTTGGACTTATACTATCCTACCATTTAGGAAAAAGGCAGCATGCCAAACACAATCGTGCAACATGACATGTTGAAAAGTTTCTAAATAAAAATTGTTATATTTTCATTGGCAGGCTTTTATCTTTTGCATGATTGTTTTTACTAAAGGTCTTTAAAGATCCCTTAAAATCAAAAGTTCAAACTTTTTTGCTCCCGTGACCTTCTAAATGTTACAAAAGTTCTAACCAAAGGAATATCTGTTTAAATTACCAATTCTGGATATTTCTATCAAAGGATTAGAACCTGTGCAGCAAACCGCAAAGGGATACAATAACCCTGTACATAATGAAAGCTTTTAAATAATTATTGCATTGACACAATTTTCTTATATTTACACTTTGCAAGGTTCAGTAATGCTATAATTTGTTTGTTTCAGGTTTGGATCCTTTGCAATGACTGCAATGAAATGAGTGAAGTATTCTTCCATATCATAGGCCATAAGTGCAGCAGCTGTCAATCATACAACACCAGAACCATTGCACCACCTCATTCAGATCCTTAATAACATTAATCATCCCATTATAAAGACATTTCATAATTCTATTTGAAAACCTAACATTCTTGCCAAGGTGCTGAATACTTCTATCACATTGGCCGCTATTGTTTTGCCCTCTACCTGCTCCAATTGTTTGGTGGAACACTCTTTTATTTTGCTCAGCTCTGCATTTATATACAAGGGCATTATTTCTGTACAGTGGATATTCAACTTGATGACATTATGTGAAACTAAATATTTTTGGACCTTTGGTTGGAAACATTAATGTGCCTCTTGGGTGTAGGTGGTTGTAACATTTAACTGTTATGTCTTGTTGGTTTTATTTTGAGATTAGTGCATTCTAAGGGTTAATAGATTAGTCATGAATAGTAGTAATCTTAAAATATACATTTAATAGATAGACCAAATTTGAATCACAATACATGGTCTCAGATGTGTATCAAAGTGCAATGTGCAATACAATACATAAGATTTTGAGTGAAACAGTGCTTTATTAATCCGACTATAAAACTATTTATGTACAATTATATTTATTAATAATTATAAAATATAAAGTGATTTAAAAATTGATGTAAAATAGAAAAAAATATTATGTAGTTTCTAACTTGAAGCATTACATTCAAATGTATAAATTAACTTTTTGAACAATTCTTAATAATTTGTTGTGATAATTTAAAATTTAAAATATTATAAAAAGGCCCTGAAATTAATTTTAGCACATCATATCATGCCTTAGTGAAGTGAAGCGGGCATCATGAGATTGGTGCGCTTTTAAAAACATTGAATTAAATTTTGTTATTTGAATATGAGCTTGAAAGTAATATTATAAAAAAACAAAATGTCATTCGTTATATATAAATGAGGTTAAGATTTAGGGTCTGTTTGAGACAGCTTGTGCGTTTTATGATAAGCGGCTTATCCCGAAACGCGGCCCGCGGGTGCGTTTAGTGTAAAAAATCTAAACGCGTTAGACAACGTTTTAAAAAACGTGCAAACCAATCGATTAGATGGAGTTTTTGAAAACGCCGCCACATTTACATGCTGCCCCAAACGGGCCCTTAGTGCATGCTGTCAGATTCTATTAATTTTGAATGCTCTATTATTATAATACTGTAAGACTATGCATCCCTTCAGTTATTATAATAAACTCATGTTGGAGAGCAGAAGCGTAGTTGCATAATTTTTAAAGCTGGATTTGGAACCTCTACAAATATCAAGGTAATGTTATGGTAACCTGGGTTAGTTGCTTTTTTATTTTATTTTATTTTTATTTTTATTTAGTGTGTTTTAATAAACCATAGGAAATTAATGCATTGAGACTTTATTTTTTTTTTTCCATCCATGATAATGTGGCCAAGTAAAAACCACTTTTTATAGGGAAAAATATGATTTTTTAGATTCAAGTAGCATGAGCTTAAAATATAGCAATTTCAAAGTTAAAACCAATTAGTGGGAAAAAGAGAAAAACGAAAGTCTAGAAATTTGAAGATTTTTCTCCTTATTTTAAAAAGTTGTACTATCGATGATTCTTTTTAGGATGTAGGGTCTCGAATCGTTTGTGAGTGCATACATCTCGTTACAGGTCTTGTTTTAAGAAAAATGTGGAAGAAAGATGCATGTGATGTTTGAGAGAGCATCTATGATTTGTTCTATCAAGCTCCGAACTCTAGTAAGCTCGAATAAATAGTTGAGATAAAACTTCTTGGGCTACAATGCTTGAGAGAGAGGGAGGGAGAGAGAGAATGTGTGTGTTAAGAAGATCTTCGATAAAATTCTAGTCCTCATAGTCCTTGCCTTACTCTCACGACTTCCCTTTTATATATAAGTAAGCAAAAAAAAAGAAAAGAAAAAAAAACATTTTGTATTGTACTGTGTTCGCATGTGATATATTGATGAAAAGCTTAAGCATGGACTTGTGTCTTTACTAGTAATAATAATCATGTATGATAGTTAGCTCTCCTTAGGTGGGCTAGATCGCCTCCAACAAAAAAGATAGCTATGCCGTTTCAGTAGATGAGTTCAGTTTAGCCGCTTTGGCAAGTGAGCTTGATTCAATCGTTTTGGCTGGTGACCTCTATTCAGCCATTTCGACAGGTGAGCTCGATTCAGCCACTTCAAAAAGTTGGTTTAGTTCAACAAAACAACCTTATTTCTCGACAAGGGCTAATGAGGCTTGCGAGACTTGTTTGCCTTCGTATCAAACTTTGTTTAAAGGTTTCATTTAGGGTATATAACAATATTTGTTTAGGTATATAACTATATTTGTGTATACAATTATTGAGTTGGCCGACTTTCTTATCCTCATAATAATAATAATAATAATAATTTAGATGCATCTATATACCTAGGTCATAGATTAATTTGTTAAAATTAGGATGCAATTATTTTTTTGTTATAATACATTCTTATCGTTTTTATGTTATTAAATCTTATATAGAAACTCAGTAAAATTCTAGTTCTAATAAAGCACCATGCAATTGGTTAGTTTTTTACTTATAATGTATGATGATGTGAAGTCTCACAAAAACCTTTTATGGGGAATTTTCATGCATACTACACAACTTTTATGTATTTACATATCTATCACCTAAGCTTTCATATTTACATATGTGGCTCTGAAATTATTAATATCACATCTAAAATTTCCCTCTCACTTTTTTAAGAAAATGAAATGCACATTTTTTTTTATCAAAGTGGTATAAATGTAAATTTGAAAATTTATGTGTTAGAAATTTAAATTCATAAGAATTGTTTGATATGCCTGTAAAAAATTGGTAAATAAGGGCTAAAAAACTTAAATTAATGATTACATATTCAAAATCAAACATACCACTAAATTTTCATACATTTATATATATGCGTATTTCAAATTTTTATATGTTTAAATAGTGATATTTTTGACGTGATATGAATGATTTGGATGGTATAAATGTAAACAAGCAACATGGTTTAAGAGTTAGATATGAATATTTTAAATATATAAGAATTGAGTGGTATATATGTAAATGGCCGAAGCAAAAATTATATGCGCACCACATGATTCTTATGTATTTACATATCTAAGTAATCTAACACTTAATATTTGATATTTACATTTATAACACTTTATTAGATAAATTTTTGCATGAAAATATGCATTTACTTTTAAAAATATAGCAAAAATTATATGCGCACCCTTCACTTCAGTTCAGTGCTTCTCTTTCTACCGCCGACGTAAGGCGGGAAAACTGGATTCAGCGCAGGGGGAAATCCTCTCCCTGTGTTCATTTGAAGCTATAACGAGGGGATCGCGGTCGGCCTTCCGACGGGATTTAAGGCAGAACGGAGGAGAAACGGATTGGATTTAGTATCCTGTAGGATTTGAAGTTAATTTTTTGTTGTTTGGCAGTATTTAGGTTAACTCCGGCTACCTAAGTGTCCCATAGATCCAGTCATCTAACCTGCCTCCTTAGGGCTAAGAACTTTCTCACTATGGGAATAAAGGTTAGGGTTTTGATCTTCTGGTAGAAGTCCGGGTCTAGTTTCACCATTTCTTCTAAACTGATGGTGTTTTTTTTCTCTTTGTGTGTTTGTGTGTTTGTGTGTGTAAGGGTTTAACGAAGCTTTTATCGGACAATGCTCCCAAGGCCATGAAGGAGCAGAAGTTCGAGAGCTATTTTGGTCGGAAGCTTGCCATTGACGCTAGTATGAGTATCTACCAATTCCTTGTTCGTACATTAGCCCTATTTCGATTTCCTTTTATACTGTGCTTGTATTTTATTAGTGCTTAGAATTTATCACCCGCTGAAGAAAATATTTTGCCTTTTTTTGGCTTTTTATCTTATAAGCTTGGAAGATTAGGGTTTTGGATTGCCTCTGACATTTATATAAACATGTTGGGATATTTACATGCATATCTCACAATTCTAATGTATTTACATATCTAGTACCTGAACATTTATATTTACATTTATAACACTATGATGTGATAAACCTGAGTATGGAAAGTTGTATTTCAATTTTTAAGTAGTTGATATTTGTATTTTTTTATGCTAAATTTTGGGTCCTAGATATGTAAATACATAATAACTGTGTGCTTTGTATGTAAATCTAACATTTTTAACTTCAAACTTATTGTTTTATGATTTGGAGACATTATAGTTTGATTTCTTTTCTTTTTTCTATATGCAGATTGTGGTGGGAAGGGCAGGGACTGAGATGCTGACTAATGAAGCGGGCGAAGTCACCAGGTGAGGGCCATGTAAATTATTTTAATCATTTTCGTAAAATGACACTCTTCTGCTTTGGCTGACATTGTTCTTACAGTTTTGAAATTTAATTTTTGTTAGCCATTTGCAAGGAATGTTCAATCGTACAATAAGATTGCTTGAAGCAGGAATCAAGCCAGTGTAAATCATGTCACTCTTTC